ATATATGATCAGCAGCACGGACAATGGCAACTTGGCTTGGCGTTACTTCTCCTAATATACGAATAGCAATTCCCGGTCCGGGAAAAGGATGCCGCCAAATTAAATCTTCGTCTATATTTAGAATTTTACCAAGCTCGCGAACTTCGTCTAGAAAATATCTATTTTAAAGAATTGTTGCATTGCATGCTAAATTTATCAAAAAAAAAAAAAACTAGAGAAACCTTTGAATAATTCTCTTAGAGGTTCTATAAGCTTTAGTTTCATATCTTTTGTTAATCCGCCAACATTCTATTAGTTAAGAAATTATTAAAAATATGATCCTGAAGGAATAATACTATTAATATAATTTAAAATAAATACGTGATGAGTTTTAATTGTAGCACTTGGGCCTTTAAATGAAATGCTTTCTATAACATCTGGATAAAGAGTGCCTTGAAGAAGATACTCAATATTTCCATGTCCACTTTCTTTAGTTTCTAGGTCAATTTTTGCAGCCTCAGATTCAAATACTTCAATAAATGTATTGCCGATTATTTTTCGTTTTTTTTCCGGATCTGTCACCCCCTTAAGACGATCTAAGAATTTATTGGAAGCATCTACAACTTTGAGATTAATACCAAGATGATCACCAAGCTGTTTCTTGACAGTTTGACATTCATTAAGTCTCATCACACCATTATCGACAAGTACTGCATGAAATCTAGCGAAGATAGTCAGACAAATCTTGGTATTTATTTTTTTATGAGTTTGGGGTATGAAATTAAGTCACACATACCTGTCTCCTATGGCTTCTTTCATCAGCTTAGCCGCTACAGTACTATCTACACCACCACTAACTGCACCAACAACCTGCCCATTTGGACCAACTATTTGACGAATTCTTTCAATCTCTTTATCAATGAATGATTCCTATTCAAAAATAATGTGTGGGGATTTTTTTTTTTTGATTTTACTAATATGTCGTTAAGTTGGTTATAGTTCATAAAAAAACAGACCATCGTCCAATTTGTCTGACATCCACAAACACTGGTAACAAAATTTTTTAAGATATCTTTTCCATGAGGTGTATGAGTAACTTCTGGATGAAATTGCATTCCAAACAAGTATTTTTCTTCGTGAACGATAACGGCGAATGGAGAAGTTAAGGTACGACCGATGACCTTAAAACCATCGGGTGCTCTATCAAGTTGATCTCCATGACTCATCCAAACCTGTCAACAATTTTAAATTTCATTAACGTTGAATTATTTGCCCGTAACGTTTACACACATGCCCACCTGAATATCATTCTCAAGACCATCGAACAACTTATTGGCAAACGGATGATCTTGATGCTTTATGATACTCAATGTTGCGTGACCATATTCTCTGTGATCACAAGGCGCAACTGAACCACCAAAATTCCATGAAATTTCCTAAAATTGAACAAATATATGTTTATATGTCGATTTGGTTAGTTGTTGAATGTATGAATGTTCTTCAACAATATTTATTTATTCATTACTTGAAGCCCATAACAAATGCCTAACAATGGTACTCCAAGGTTAAAAACCATTGGATCAACGTGCGGTGCGTCTTTATCATACACAGAATATGGACTCCCCGAAAGGATTATTCCTATTCCATCAAAAAGGATAAACACGTTAAATTTAGTCTTGATTCACATCCATATGCGAGGAGTCAATAGAATGGAACAAATCATTTTTATAAATTTAAATTAAAATATTTCAACAGTTACTAAATTAAATTTAATAAAAATTTTTTTATTTAATTTTATATAATTATTTACAATTAAAATAAAAAACAATTTATTAAATTTGGTTTAGTAATTAAGATATTTTAGCTTAAAATTCTACAAGCTTTTATTTAGAAAAAATTGCTCATTTCTGCTGACTCCCTATATTTCTAATTCGAATAAGTGATTGAAATTTTGACCTTTTGGATTAAAATTTAGCACATTGATCTTTTGAGTGCATGGTAACATTTCACAATAAATGCCAAATTCGCGTACTCGACGAGCAATCAAATGAGAATATTGTGAACCAAAATCGAGGATTAAAATGGTGTCATATAGAGAGTGAACCTGCGTGACTTGTTCTTGATCCATTTTACTTAATAACAGCTTTATTTCACTATCAAAGCAACAGATCTATCGATTTACGCATTTAGTGATAGACAATCAATTTTTTTTATATTATGGATCAGCAATAGATTTCAACAACCACCTGATAAAATTTATTATACACGGGTATAATTTATTAAATTACAGATTCGTGTAACATGCCAATCAAAACAATTTTTACAAACGAAAAATTAAACCTT